AACAGGATACCAACAAACACTTTTCCAAATTGGTTGCACTTTTTAAATATAGAAAAATATTGGTTTTGGGAGGAGAGGGGTGGGGAGGGCACATGGGAGTAAAAAAGATGTTGGAATGAGATGGACATCATTACCCTAAGTACTTGTATGAAGACACGATTTGGTGTGAATATACTTTGTATAAAACCAGAGATATGAAAAATTGTGTTCCTTGTGTGTAATATGAATTGTAATGCATTCATTCCTGTCATATGTAACAAGTTAGAATTTTAAAAAATTGGATTCATTTCTAAAATCTTTTGAGAGCAAAAGTTCAAAATACCCCCAACAAACTTCTGCTGTTTCCTCTGTGATACACTGGCTATCCCAGGGAGGTGTGACATGATAGTTTTAGAAATACAAGCCGAAGCTGGGCATGGTGGTGCATGCCTGTAATCGCAGAAGCCAAGGAGGAGAGGCAGGAGGACTGTGGGTTCAAAGTCAGCCCCAACAACTTAGGGAGGCCCTAAGCAACTCAGTGAGACCCTATCTCTAAATAAAATATAAAATAGGGCTGGGGGTGTGGCTCAGTGGTCAAGTGCCCCTGAATTCAATCTCCAGTAGTAAATAAATAAATAAGTAAATAAAACAGAAAAGAAATACAAGCCCTAACCTAGGCAATGTGCTGGTATTTTATAAATTTATCCCACTAAATCCTGTCCCAAAACTCTATAGGCTAGGTAACCTCAATACATGGCAGATAAGAAAAGGGCCAGGACAGATAAATATCTCAACCATGGACCTACAGTTAGGTCCATGGCACTCAAGGTCTCCCACTGAGGGTCTTACTTTTCCCCTTTGAAAAGCAGTTTTGCAGTAATCACAAAGTTAGGGAAACAGAGATAGATACCAATAACCTTAGCTCCTTATTTTTTTCTTTAGCCACCTCATTAATTTAAGTATAGTTAATATTTAATAATTAATTTAATAATAATTGATTTAATAATTAATTCAATGATTTATTATTATTAATTTAAATATGGTTAATATTTAAATTAATTATAATAGATTAATTATGATAGCACCTCAGTATAATTCCTCATACTGTAGATTTAAATCATTATGATTTCATACTACATTCTATGCCTTGAAACATGCTATCCAGATTGACAAGGATAGAAAGGTAAGAAGTATAAGCACCCTGCAAAAAAAATCTCACATTGAAAGATGGCCACAAACCAGAGGGTTTCACACAAAGGCAAGGATTTGCAAGGTGAGGGAGATAACAACCCTATAGGTTTTTCTATCTTCTACTCAGGTCTCCACTACATGTAGAAGCAGATTTAAGTGGCATAAATCAGAAAATGATAATGGGAACTGAATGAAATTCTCATAAATCACGTTACTAAGTATAGTTACATCGTAGATGTGAAACCCAATTAAACAGATGGCCACATGCTGTCAGATCAGCCCCTAATCAATAAAGATGTTCATTTTAGAAAATCACCTCAATTTTTCACTTTTTCAGTGAAGCAAAAAGAAGGCAGTTGTGGAAGGGGGGAGTCTCAGGAAACCCAGTGGAGAAATGTGCAAGAAGCTCCACCTGTCCTAATTTGTAGTCCAGAAAATCAGGAAGGGAAGGAGGGGAAGCCACCCAAAGGATTCCTTGTCATGTTGCCTGGAAATAGAATTTACAATGAGAGCAGGCAGTGGTCATTAGGAAAACAGAAACAGCTTGAATCTCTTAATTAAAATACTGCTTCAAATTGTTCGTTTTAAAACCCCTCTGTCTATGAGCTTTTGAGAAGCCATTGGTTTTCCTTGAGATGGCTCTTCCTGGTACACTCTGACAGATTCAGCTCTTTCCAGGCAAAAAAAAAAAAAAAAAAAAAAGGCAGAGCAGGGGGGATCCTGGAGGTGGAACTATTATTAGACACACCAAGTCCCCAAAGAAGCACTAAGCCTTCAGTGGCATTTGAAAGTAAGTGGAGAAACAGAGGTGAAGAGATTATCTTGTTGATTTTCTTGCTAAGATCAAATCTGGATCTGACATAATAGTGCATAATTTAAGGATATCTATATGGATTATTAATTTTTATCTTAAAAAATAAGGGAAAGATAAATACAAAAATCAGAATGGTAGTGACCTCTATGGTGAGGAAGAAAATGAAATGGGGAGAGAGACAGTAGCTGCAATGATACTCGTAATGTTCTGGTCTTTTGCTGAGTTACGGCTTCATGGGCACACACTGGTTTCTTATAGACTTTATAATCGACATGGGCCAACATGTTATACATATTGTTTTGCATGTACCAAATATTACATAATAAAACTCTTCCTTTTCTTTTTACTTTTCTGTTGTGTTGTGTAGTACTGGGGATCCAACCCAGGACCTCATGCATGCTACTTAAGTGCTCTTCCATAGCTACACACCCAGCTCCAATATTTTCTTTCTTTTAAAATAAATCATCTAAGAATACCCCTTCACTTAATAGATTATTCCAAATATTATTATAATAATACATTTAAATAAATAGTAGTATAATTTTAGTTATAATTACTATCTCAAATATCATAAGTTCCCAAGTAACATTTGCAGCTTAGTTTTCAACTTGGAGCTTAGTACCTTAAGAAAGCAACAGTATTTTCGTGATAATGAATATTTATATAGTAAGTAGTGACATTCAAAATATTTAACAACTTATTTGGTTAAATAAATTAGTGTAGAAATTAAAAAAAAATCAGCACCATCTGCTTGTTTTCCTTCTGCTCATTATTCTCACAGACCAAAGTCCTACAGACATCTATTTCCAAATGTGGCCACAGGAGGGCGACTCTGGTCGTGAGTAGACACAGCTCTCAAGCTGTGGTCTCTGGCCAGGAAGTACTGTAGAGACAAAGAGTAGCTTGAAGGACTTAGAGCAAGCAGGCTGATTGACTGGCTAGAGGACGGACATAATAAGATGCTTCAGTGAAAAGGTGTTGTTTGAGTGAACACTTGAAAAGTAGGGGGGGGTTAAACTTGCAGATCCCTTGGGATTCCAAGGCCAAGAGATCCCCCAAGTACAAATACCTCAAGGGAAGAGTGTATCAGATATGCTGTAGGACTGTGAAAGAGGCCAGTGTGGCTAGAACTGAGGGAGGGAGGGAAGAGTAGTAGGAGGTAAAGACAGAGAGAGATCCGCCTCTAGGTCAAAGTAAGCAATTTAACTTTTAAGCTGAGTAAAATAAGATACTGGTTTAAAAAAAAGAACTTTGAACAAAGGAGTAACTTTGATTGTAAAATTTTTTAAAATAGATGCAATACCATATTTAGAATAGACTGAATCAGAATGAGGACAGAAGCAAGGAGACCAGCTAGAAGGCTGTTACCATAATCAAGGTGGGAGATGGTGGTGTGAACAAGAATGATTCTGTCCCTGTGTTCAACACTGTAGAAATGTGATTGAATCCATGAGATTAGATGTTATCACCAAGAGTGTGAATGAAAATGGAGAACAGAGGTGAATAGAACAGACACCAGGGCTGAACCTTGGAGCATGCCACCATAAGGAGGAAGAGAAGATGAGGAGAATCCAGCAAAGGTTTGACAAGGAGTGGCCCATCTTCCCTGCAACAGGCTTCAACCAACTTGAATTTGATGTCTGTCAAGTCTTTACCCTTTTACTACAAAGAGATGTAACTCTGAACAATATACAGAATTGTTCAGCATGATTTCCAACTTCATTTACATGATATCATACTCCATATAATTTTCCAAGTTCTCTTTTCTCGTAGAACTTAGTATTTTTTAAATCCATCTATGTAAATACATGTTGCTTTAGATCATCAAGTTTTCACTGCCGTATGGTATTCCTTTGTGTGAATGTGCTATATTAGATTCACTTTCCTGCAAAGGTAAACATAGGGGATTTTCCTTTTTCTGCTACTGTCAATAACATTTCTGTGAGTATTCTCGCATGGGCCTCCTTTTGCCTTGCCTTGCCTTGTATGAGAGTTCTCCAAGGCAGAGAACTTTTCAAACTTAAGTATACATTAGAATCACCTGGAAGCTTTTTAAAAGCAGGTTTCTGAGCCCCACATCCAAAGTTTGTGATCCATAGGTCTGAGGTAGGGCCTGGAAATTTGCATTTCTAACAGGTTCCCCATGATGTTGTTGCTGCTGGTCCAAAAACCAAATTCTGAGAACCCCAGCACTGGAGCACATGTAGGTACCCCTTTGGCTCTTTTAGATAATGTCAAATTGCCCTTCAGTATATGTCTTTATTGGCAACACTGGGTACTGTCAGAATTTTAATTCATGCCAATTCTGATATCTAATACTTTATATATTTATCATGGCATTTATGATTACATGTACCAATACATATAAGCAAAAGTTATCAAGATATAACATCATAGGTCTAACTAGAACATTTTCTTTTTTTTTTTTTTTTATTGGTCGTTCATTACATTACATAGTAACTTGAACATTTTCATGGTTTTCTCTTACATACAGTTATTCCCCCTTAGTATGTACAATCTGCCCAGTTACCTGTCATTCTCCTCCTCAATCTCTAGGATAGTATAGTTAAGATGATCGTGAAAGGAAAGTGAAGGCATGATTTCTTCTTCATGACAAACTTCATTATGGTTTTATTTACTGTAGGTTTTTTTTAGAGTCACTGATGATGTAAAGCTTAAAAATTAATAAGGCAAAGAAAATGAGGAAAAATAGGTATAAGAAAGAAAAACAAACTTGGGCTGGGGTTGTGGTTCAGTGGCACAGTGCTCGCCTAGCATGTGTGAAGCCCTGGGTTCAATCCTAAACACCACATATAAATAAATGAAATAAAGATATTGTGTCCACGTACAATTTAAAAATATATTTAAAAAAAAGAAAGAGAAACAAACTTATTTCATCCACATACCTGGTTGCTTTTCAAGGGAAAGAAAGAATGCCCTACACTTCATCAGAGGCATGGAAATGTTCCCTTCATTTTGTACCAGATTTTAAAAGATGTCAAAAGGTTGTACTCACGGATCTGGTTGGTAGATGCACTGTAGAAGGCATTGACAGTTGTTGGATTTGTAAACCACCTGTAGGAAGATAAACAAATGCCACAAGGTGATTGTCATTATCCAGGCAGGAGGGTGACAAAGACACACATGATGTAGCTGGATTTATTAGCAGATACCATAGAACGAGGGGATTTGGCCTGGGGAAAATTATTGCCTCAGTTAGGGCTATTGCCTGTTCAGTGAATAATCTCTTCCTAAGTTGAACATGGCTCAATGAGAATATTAACATGCCTGGTCATTCACTGTTACTAACTTAACAGGAAAACTCAGCACCAGTGCTTCTAAAGAAGCTATAATGAGAAATTCTAGAATCTAAAAGGCTTTGCCTGCAGATGGAAACACAGCAAAAAGCTGATGTTTGCCAGGCCTAGTTCAATGGATCGATGAGATAGCTACAGTTTTATGCTGCATCACCTCTGACCTGTCCATTCAAAAGTTTCAGATTGGTGATAACATAGAGATCCACTTAAAGAGAGGTGAATAAAGTACCACCATGCTATCCAGAGGATCTACCTGCTCCAGTGGAAAGCTTACTGATTTTAGTGGCAAAAGAATTAACAATTGGGTCTGTCTATATCATTAACTAGCTGTCTTATAACAGTCACTGACCTTCTTGGAGTCCAGTTTTAGCTATAAAGTTAAAGTAGGCAATTTTGGAGGTCCTTTGCAATTATAAACAGTTTATAACTTCATCTTAAATTTACAGGTTACTTCAGGAATTGGAAATTTGTTCTCTATAAAAAGTCAGATTGTACACATTTTAAGCTTTGTAGGCAAAGAGGTAAAATCAATGAATGGTATTATATAGATATTTGATAGCAAACTTTGCACAATTTTTATTGAAGGAGTTCAAAATAGAATAGTAATTTAGTAGAATTTTTTGTAATGCAAGCCTATTAGTGAGAAGAATTGAATTCTTTTGTGGTGGGATAACATTTTGCTTAATTGAGCTTCAAAGTTATTGCTTCACATCCTTAAACCAATATCAGAGATTTATCTGTGAAAATCATTCTTGGCTTATGGGCTATATGAAAGCAGGCAGCAGGCAAGATTTAGCCCACAGGCTATAGTTTGCCAAACCCCAACGTAGATGCTTGTGGGTTTCAATCACTGCCCTTCATGATTAAAATCAAATAATTCATCTTAAACTAAATGAAACTTGTGTGGGACTGAGGGCATAGCTCAATGGTAGAGTGCCTATGTAGCATGCATGGGGCCCTGGGTTCCATCCCTAGAACCACCAAATAAAACTTGTATGAATCCCCTTCAAAGCAATCAATTTACTCACTTATGTCTAATAAAATAATTATACCAGTCTAATGAATTTATTGCTATGAGGCTAATATAAAACTGGTAGGAGGGCTGGGGCTGTATCTCAGTGGTAGAGCACTTGCCTTGCAGATGTAAGGCCCTGGGTTCGATCCTCAGCACCAATAAATAAATAAATAAAAATAATTGAAACTAAGGATATTTTTTAAAAAACTGGTAGGAAACCCAACTATTGATTCTAGCGTCCACTCCTACCTTCTCCTACCTATAAAGAAGTCTATAAATATGTCATATTATTATTAATAAACATTCACTAAGCACCTAAGGTTTTACTCCTATAGTCACCACAGGACATATTAGTCCATTTCACAGATGAGGACACTTATATCTGTGAAATGGACTAATTTAGATTTAGAAGCATTACATACTTGCATAAGATCTAGTGTGACTTCAAAGCACTTTTTTTCCACATTGTATTGTATTGGTGCATTATAGTTGTACACAATGATGGGATTTGTTGTTTCATATTCATACATGCGCATAATATAACAATATAATTTGGCCAATATCACTCCCCAGCATTTCCTCCCTCCTTCTGCACCTTCTACCCCTTGGTTCATTTCTTCTACTGATGTCCCTTTGATTTTTAGAAAAGCTACCCCCACCTTTGTTTTCCTTTATCCTCTCTAGCTTCCACAAATGAGAGAAAGCATATGACCCTTACCTAAGAAGTTCTCTTAAACATTATATTATACTGGAGACATTTCTGGAAATCAAAAAACCAAAAAAAAAAAAGAAGGTGCCTCCTCTCATGTCAAAATTAAAACTTAGACTTATTTCCATGAAATGCATATTCTCTTCCCTCAAATTTAGGATCAGTATTTCAATTAAGCCCTAATGTGTAATATAAACTTACTGGTTGGCACACTTTCCTGAGGAAACAAGTAGAAGGGAAAGCACATTTACTGACAGAGCTTGCCACCTGTAGTGATCCCCAGGATCTTGTGAATATGTTGCTTTATATAGCAAAAAGAACTCTGCAGATGGAATTAAGGTTGAGGACTTGAAAATGGAGAGTTTCTCCCAGACTATCCAGGTAGACTCAATCTAATCATCACTTGAGTCCTTAACAACAATCCTTTTTGGCTGGAATGACAGAGATGCAACAGGAGAGGTCAGAAGAGATACTGCAGATGAGAAGTCAGGGGATTCCAAGGGTGAGAAGGATCTGATGCACTTTTGCTGCTGGCTCTAAGATTTAGAGGCCATATACAAGGACCATAGAAAGGCCCCTGGGAGCTAAGAGTGAGTCCCAGGCAATAGACATCTAAAGTAAGAACTTCAGTTCTACAACCCAAGGAACTGAATTCTGTCAACATTCTTGATGAGCTTTTTCAGAGACTCTTAATAAGAGCCTAGCAAAGCTGACACCTTGATTTCCACCTTCTGAAACCAAAGCAGAGAAACAAGCCAAGCCAAGCCAGATTTCTAACCTACAGAACTGTGAGACAAATGAGTTGTTTTAAGTTGCTACAGTTGAAGTAATTTGTTACAGTAGCAATAGGAAGCTAATTCTTTGCCCAAGGAATCCAGCATTTGTAGGTTAAGAGAATCCAGACACCTCTCAGCTTGGTTTCTAAAAATCATTCAACTCAATCATAATACACACAAAAGACTCTGTGTATTCCTATACTATGTTCCTTCTCTTTACATCCTTCCCCTTTCTTTCCCTTTAGCAAAGAATAAATGAGCTTGAAACAGAAAATGAATTTATGCTAGACAAAGGTGGACAAAACAAAGAAATCAAATAACCAATTCCTGAAGTAGACTCTGCTGAGGACTTCTGAAGCTTTAGCAAGGATGACTAAAAATCTTACCTCAGATACATGATCTTACCATTCTTGATCCTGCAGAGCTCCTATTGACTCTGGGGCACATTTGGAGCCTTGATTATCCCCAGAGCTAATATTAAGCAGCTGCACCAGCAGATCCTACCAGTTGTTGATACTATTCTTTCTTCTGTTTAGTGCCTATGCCAAACCAACTGTTCAACATTCCATACATTTCCTTTATTATATCCAAGTTTATTATATATTTAGTTTTACCATTCTCTAATGTAAATTGACCTGTGCTAGTTTTATAGTGTATTTACAATTTTTTTATATTCCTCCTATGAAGAGATGGAGTCTAAATTCCTCTCCTCTTGATTATGAGCTAGCCTTAATGATTCACTTCTAAAGAATAAAATGCAGTGGGAATGACACTGTTTGACTTCCAAGGTTAGGCAATTAAGGCTGATACAACCCCAACCCCACCCCAGTATAGGAAGCTTGCTTTCTCTCTCTTTCTCAGGAAACTTGTTCTTTCATGTTTCTTTATCAGCCAACATGTTGTGAAGAAACTCAATGTACATGGAGAAGCCATATGTAGGTGTTCCAGCCAACAGCCAGAATCAACCATTGGATATGAGAAAGGCAACTCTTCCCCATGACTCCAGCACCAGCCACTATCTAAATGTAACTACATGAAAAAACATGTGCAAGAACCACACAACTGAGCCTAGTGACACCCAGAAACATGAGTGATAAAAACAATTATTGCTGTTTTAACCCTTTAAATTTGGAAGCAGTTTGTCATGCAGCAATAGATATCTGGAACACTGAAAAGTTGGCTGTCCCCAGATTAAGTCCTACCCAGTAGGCTGAATTTCCCCCAGAAAACAGTTTTGTTTGCCCAAAATAATGGTTTAAAAATATTATTGCATTGGACCGGGTATGGTGGTACATGCCTGTAATCCCAGCAGCTTGGGAGGCTGATGCAGGAGGATCACAAGTTCAAGGCCAGCCTCAGCAACTTAGCAAGACCCTGTCTCTAAATAAAACATAAAAGGGCTGGGAATGTGGTTCAGTGCTTATGCACCTAGGTTTAATCCCTGGTATCAAAAAATTTAAAAAAAGAATCAATGAATTGGAATTTTTAAGTAGAATGTACAATTACTAGTTCTCCCATGGTCCTCATCATTCCTTGTTGTTGTTTATATTTAGCTAGGTTAGCCATTTCTTCAATGACTGGACCCTGAAAGCATTTGAGTTTGCAGAACTTATCTTCCAATAAGATTTTAAGTTCCTCATGGGTTAAGATAATAGTCCAAATGGTACATTCAGAGTAGGAAATCACTAAATCTATTAAGATGAATTTATTATATTGCAAACATCTACCTTAATAAACAAAGAACATCATTTGAGTACTTTAAATTCTTCCTACTATGTCTTTGTGGTGCTCCTGCAGTCTGTGTTTAGTGAAGAATTTAATGGACAAGGTAGGGAAAAGTCCTATAAATCTAAAATCCCAAAATATATGGGGATAAAATAATACTAGACAATAGGACTGATGAAAAGAATGTAATGCCAAAATACAATGATCTGAAGGAATAACATTCGTACTCCATTTTCTTGGAACCATATACAATAGATATACATTAGAGTCAAGTTTCACATTTTACTTGTCAACACTTGAAGATAGTCTAGAGAATATATAATGGGAAAACCATCAAGTATCTGTTTCTTTCTTACTAATATTTTGCAGTTTATATAACTCACATTCTGTGCTACAGATGATTTTGCAAACAAAAATTCTGTGCAGAACCATAATTTGTAGAGACATTTGATGCATTTTTAAATGTATTTTCCAAAATATATAGAAAGAGAATCTAGGCATGTTTGGTCACAGTATAATGAGAATGAGTTAATAGGGAAACTGGCTTAAAATCATTTCTGTCAAAGAAGAAGATCCTGAGGGAAAGAAATTACTCTTGACTCAAGCCAAGCAGTAAAATAAATCCTCTATTTTTAAGCAAACTGATGAAGTGACAATTCTGAGAACCAACCCCTAAATATGTACCTTCAGGGATGACCACCCAGTTAATTTCATTCTTGCTGACATTTCCTATTGCCTTAGAAAATTCTTAATGCACATTAGTGCAGCTAAAATGAATTCCATGAGAATGAAAGATAGAGGGTATTTATCTCCTATCCCCACAAAGAAGTAAAATGTTATTTCAGGGTTTTGTGGAAATATAATCATGATGTGCTGTTCAAAGTGTAGAGGAGCTACTCCAGAATCATCCCCACTTGATTAACTTATGAATTTCAGACTTTTAAAATGTCAATTAAAGCCAATGGCTGTCATGAAACTAAAATTCCCTATAATGCCTGACAAAGTCCAGCCAGATATTTAGGTAGGAAGGGAGGGAGGGAGGGAAGAAAGCAAGGAAGGAAGAGGGAAGCAGAGGGAAGGGGAGGGGAGGGAAGGGGAGGGGAGGGGAGGGGAGGAGAGGGGAGGGAGGAGGGGAGGGGAGGGAGGAAGGGAGGGAATGACTGTCATATCACTTTACCATGCAAACAGGTTAAATCTCTTAATGTTGTTTACCCTGAAATAGACATAATCTGAGAAAACAAGAATCAAAAGTATTATACCTATATTCATTCTTGGAGGATTTCTCCCTAAACATAAACCAATTTAATATCCTTGTGAAAGAGGTAAAGTCAGCTCTCCACATCCACAGGTCAGAAAAAAAAAATGCACCTCTACCTGATATGTTCAGACTTTCTTCTTGTCCTTATTCTCTAAACAATATAGTAATGCATCTATTTACATTGTATTAAATATTGTAAATAATCTACAGATGCTTTAAAATATATGGGAAGATGGACATAGGTTATATGCAAAAGCAACTCCATTTTGTATAAAGGACTTGAGCATCCTCAGATTTTAGTATCTGTAGGATGTCCTGAAACCAATTCTGCATAGATTCTAAGAAACGACTATATTTGTTTTCCACTGATGGAGAAAAAAAAAAACTACACATATCAAACAATTTGCCTAAGCCCACAAATTCACCCAGCATTTTTCCAAGGCATGAATAAAATATTAGCAATAGTCAAGAGCATTAGAATCTGACAACCAATCAGTATTTTAAGATACTGTTAAAGATGACACATTTAGAACTTTTTCAATTAGCAGCACAAGCCCTGCTACATATCCAAATGAATACTGACATTTTGAAATTGAAGAATTAAATTGGCATCATATCTAATATGGAGGATTTCCTGCAAAAACCACAAAAACTTACAAAAACACTGCTTGGTAAAGCCTTGAATTTTCCACAAATTAAAAAAACAACAACTTTTAACTGATCTGAATTAAAGGGCAGAATGATTTGCTTATATCTATAACAATCCTACTGTATGGAGATGGTCATAAAGATATTAGAAATCATTTGCTAAGGAATGGAATATAGCTCAGAGGTAGGGCACTTGCCTAGCATGTGCAAGGCCCTAGGTTCAATGCCCAGCACTACAAAAATAAAAATTGTTGAAATCATTGGGTTTTGGTCATCAGATTTTAGAGCCCTAAATCTAAAATTTCTATTGTGTAGTTTAGTTTGAGGATTAAACAGGATAGGGAGACTAAGACATAATATGATAAGAGGAAAGAACCCAAGGCAGCAGACAATTATCTTTAGACAATTATCTATCATTACCAAAGAAATTTTAAAGCTATCTGTTTTCTTCTTTGATGCTTTTGTTTGGAGTCAGAGATAGGTAGAGGAGTGGTCTAGCTTGGTCTATTCCTTCAAGGGAATAACTTACAAGTATCCTCACAGATGTATTTTGTACAAAAATTTGAAAGGCAGAGGGCAGGGATGGCCAGATGGGAGCATAGAGTGCTTAAGCCTGGGTACAGGGGATTAGAGACCCTACAATCCAAGACAGAGTAGGGAGTTGAAAAGTGACAAAAAAAAAAAAATCAAAATAACCAGCCAAAGATCTAGAAACTAAGTATCAGCCAAGGTAAAAAAAAAAAAAAAAAAAAAAAAGGACTATTGGGGTTAAATCTGCAAGCTTTGTCATCTAAAACTGGCCAACTTGGTAGAAAATGAATGAAGAAAACCCAGAAAATTTAAAAAAGAGATCCTGAAACTGAAAGTCAAACAAAAGCTAAATAAGCACTCTACATATCCCTGGTTGAGTAGGAAATTAGGTATATATACAGGGGAGACCAGAGAGAACCCAGTAGAAGGTAAAATCCAAGGCAGATGGAGTGCTGGCTGTGACTTTGAAGGCACTCCCAGCCTACACACAGAGCAACTGGCACAGGGTAGAAGCCCAACAGGCTGGAGGTGGGTGAGCATAGCCATGCCCTAATCACTGGCTGAGCACTAAATTGTGGAAACACGGGGATAATCATCAGGAATAAAAAATAAGAACTAAAAAACTGAGCAAAATATCCACACCTCCTTAGTACAGAAGATATAAATTCTGTAGTGTAATTCCAGCAAAATCACTCTAAGAAAAGCCTTAGAAAAACAAATCAGAATCTAGAGTTGCTACATCATCTAAAATGTCATTTTCAACAACAAAAAATTATGTTATGCAAAGAAAAAGTATAAAAGAATCAATCAATAGCAACTGACTCTAAGTGAGCCCAGATACTGGATTTGGCAAAGATGTGAAAGTAGCCATTATAAATTAGTTCAAAAAATTAAGCTACATTCAAAAAATTCATGATAAATATGACAGTGACTCAATACATAATCACAGGGAAGCAGAAACTACAAAAAAAAAAGAAAGAAAAGGAAATTCTGGAGTTAAGAACAGATCAATAGAAATTATCCAACCTAGAGAACCAAGAGAAAAAATAAAACACTGGAGAAATGGGCCACAGTAGAATAGAATCTAGTCCCACAACCAAAAGCACCAGAAGGCAGAACAAAAAGTAATCTAAACCTGAGCTGAAGAATTTCTCAATTGTAAGCTTTTTATTCAGTTGTAAAATAGGGGTAACTGTACTTCTACCTCCCAGAAGTGACATGAGGATAAAATGAATTAAAAATTGTGAAGTGCTTCCTGGCATATTGTAAACACACAATAACTGTTAGCTGCTATGATGATGATGATGATGATGATGATCATCATCATCATCATCATGAATAGCAGCAGCAGCAGCAGCAGCATCTGCTAAGGGCAGAAATCAGAACTGGCTGGCCCTGGGCCTCAAAGTGTTTAAGGAAACTCTCCTACCAATAGGGAATGTTCTTATAGACAGAAGAAGACAAATAAATCTTAGCTGCTATTCTAATAGAAATAATATAGCTCTGAGTTCTTTGATATGCATTACACCTCAACAAATAACTTCTAGATGCTTCAAAATTATTCAATTTTTAGAATACTTTTTAGTTGTCAAAGGACCTTTATTTTATTTATTGATATATGGTTCTGAGAATCAAATCCAGTGCCTCACACATGCTAGGCAAGCACTCTGCCACTGAGATACAACCCCAGTCCCCAAATTATTCATTTTTACATGTCTAATCATACTCATTTCTAAAATATTTATTATTTTTTAAGATTGAAAAGTTTCCACCTGGGTGTGAAAATCTAGAGAAATATTCTTGCTATATATATGTGTGTGTGTGTGTGTGTGTGTGTGTGTGTGTGTGTGTGTTTACAACTAGATCTAGCAATAATTTTAATGTTAGCACCCAAGTAAGCCTTCTTCTGATAGGTGTTAATGAAGATCTGAATCATATAATATCAGAAATAAGAGTTGGCTAAACATGACACAGATTTTGCTAAAGCAAAACAACTGGCAATCTAGCTACTCTAACTTCAGGGGAATTACAAAGTTTAATCTAAGAGATTCCACCTCCCAAAGTATTTATCTATTTCACTTGTTTTTTCTTTGAATACTCACTCTGTTTTTGGAACAGCTTTTCTTAGCCAGACGAAATCAGACTGTGCTAAATACTTTCGGGTTTGCAGAACATTGCCAAAGTAGTCCGATTCTGAAAATTTGATCTGAAAAAAAAAAAACATAATACATTGTTGTAAGTGAAGATAAGAGATGACTCTAAAAATAGATTTGAGCACATGAAGGAGCAACCAGCAGAGAAGCTACGGCCCTTGCAGCATCTCTCAGCTGTTACTGGTTAACCCAGGATTCACAAAGCCGAGAAATTTAATCTCAGTGATTTTCTTTTAACATAAAAGCTCAAAAATCAATATGGTCATTTCTGGATCACAGTTAAGAAAAACACGAGAAGCTACAGTCATTGACAATGTGTTCCATTTACTTTATAATTGAAAAATCTACTTTAACCTTTACAGAACGTATCATCTTAGGTTTGAAATTTCTTGGCTCACAAGTTCTTGATCTTTCTAAAATGTGGACCTTATTTATTTGTCACCTAAGATTCTTCTAATAACATTCAGTTTAGTCAGCTGAAACCTCATTTAGTTTATAGATGATGATTTAGTCAAATGTTAAAATCCAATTTACTGTAATCGGCATTTGTTCATAAAGGAAAAAAAATGAAACCAATTCAGAGACCCTATTTTCCACCCTAAGCACAAAGAAGTCACCAGAATAATTTAATTATTAAGAGAATTTATCTATTAATACAAAAAGGCTCTGGTCACTAAAAATTAATGAAATTACAGAGGAAAATCATAGATTATACTTTGCAAGGGAATACAGGAAGTTGGTAGCTCACAATAATGTTGTCTACTAAGATAGGAAAATTGACATAATTATTGTGTTCCTTTTTTCTTTTTTCTTTTTTTTTGGAAGGAAATAGCAAACACTTTCAATACTAATACATTTCATCTACAAAATCAGCAATATTTAACCTATAGATTCTAAATAATATCTGTACAGCAATAAAAGCAATAGCTGGTATTGCTAAGTAATGCTTCTATTTTAAAATATATTACCATGACAAAAATAAATGTAAAATATATAACTGCGGCAAATAAGGAAAGCACATTTTTGAATAGGTGAAAACTAAGAGTAATCAAATTATTAGCTATATTTTTTTTGGTAACTTTAAGACATAGTTTGTCCTTTTTTTCTTTTCCTGGTGCTGAGGATTGAACCTAGGGCCTTGCACATGCTAAGTAAGTGTTCAACCACTGAGTTATATCCCCAACTCAAACCAAAGTCTTTTAAAATTAAAAATTAAAATACAGTAAATGTGTACATATGAATACATATACATACATATACACAACTTGATAGTTACCAACTTGACATGTCACCTATTTGTTGGCCAATACCTGGCTCACATTTTAGTTCCTCTCTAACATAGAGTGGGTATTCATGGTGGCGGTGTACACTCATTGTGTCCACAGACAACATCTGTGTTTCAATAAGTTTTCTATGTCAACAACCTTAAAAATCTTTCAATGGGAGCAAGTATAAAAGAAAGTGTAAAATAACTGAAAGCACACTGAGAAAGGGAGGAGTGGAAGTATCAATTTCCAGCACCCTTAATATTCTATTTGGCCAATAAATTATAAAGACATAACTTTAAATTGTCCTTTTCTTAAAGTGCTTCAGCAGGGAAGGGGGGCTGTGATAAATAGATCATTGTATATTCATAGAAAACAATACAGTGTTTTAAATCAATGTTCTATATGCATGAACATGAAATAATCTGAAAAATAAGGTAAATAAGTTGTATGAGAAGATTTAAAATTTTAAAACACGTGAAACAATACTATATACTGTTTATGGACACAAACATATATAGCAAAAGCATAAAGAAATACATAGGAATGATTAAGATTGATTTCACAGTACCATTTATATCCAGGGAAGGACATAAGTAAGGAGGAAGGAAATCAGATCAAGAATTAGACATTGAATTTAAAATGTATCTATTTTATGCATTTAAAATGTATGTGTATTCTGGGCACAGTGACACATGCATATGTGTCAGGAGGCTGAGGCAGGAGGATCAGTTGAACCCACCAGTTCTAGACCAATTTGGGCAATACAATAAGATCCCCTTCTCTAAAATAATAATAGTAATAATAATAAATTAAATGTGTATGCATGTATAAAAGCTATTCAATAATATTTTTGAAGATAAATGTGTTCAAAACATTATTTTACATATTGTCCCAATGTTAGAAATGGTTCATAATAAAAAGAAATCTTCTAATTGATTGTTATTTTAAGATAGAGGTTTTCTCCTAGCTTTAAAAGAAACATAGAAAGCATCTTGCTTTAGGAAATAGCCTTAACTAGCTTTCCTAAGACATTCTTGTAATAATATAATTGAAAGATATGTCCAAGTGCATGCCTGTAATCCCAGCTACTCAAGAGGAAGAGGCAGAAGGATTGCAAGTTCGAGGCCAACCTTGGCAATTTAGCAAGACTGTCTCAAAATAAAAATTAAAAGGGCTGGGGAATGTAACTCAGTGGCAAAGCACCCCTAGGTTCAATCCCCAGTACCACAAAAAGAAAAAGAGTCCATTTTTCAAACCTGAGCTTTTTTCAGCTTTTGTTTTTTTCCAAGATAGCCCTGCCAAGACCTTTAAAACATTATTGTAACTGAAATAAAATTCAGATATGTTTTTTGGGTTCAGAACATTGGGAAATTCTCCCAAAAGTATTTCCTTTAAAAATAATAACTATTTTTTGAAATATTACTGAAGTCAGTTTTTACTTTTAGAAAAGTTTACTAATTGTGATACTTTCCCATTCCATCTAAAAAACAACACCAGGGGCTGGGAATACAGCTCAGTTGGTAGAGTGCTTGCCTTGCATGCATGAGGCCCTGGGTTCAATCCCCAGCACCACAAAATCATCATCATCATCATCATCATCATCATCATCATCATCATCATCATCACTAACTTGACACTAAGTTTGGTCCATAGACATTAAAGATAAAACCATCTCAAAACTTCCAAAGAAAATAATTCCAAATCTAAGAACACTATAAATAAATAAAGTTCTACTGTACCCACAAAAATAATCATTCAGAGTAAAACTTAACTGTAACACATTACAATTTGCCACAGCTTATGTACATTTAGAAGGACAATTGTTATATTGTTTTAATTATTAAATGGTGAATATTTGTCTTTTCTTAGACTGGATTAATTTATGCATTGCACTAATTTAATGGAAATGACAAGTAATGGGGATCAAGTCTTACTTCGAAGACAAAAGTGTTTGGAGGTAAGAGGGACAGTCATTATTCACATATGATAGATAGGAAATAGGTATAATGAGACTATGGATCTAGGCAAAGCCACACAGCCCAAATCATTTGGCCCCTACTTCAATGTTATTTTCATTGGTTCTTATAAGAAACTCAGTAATTCAACAAAATGAGTACAGGGAAGAAGGAGGAGAAGATAAGAATTAGAAACTGGAATAGAAGTAGTGATTAAATAAAATCATCATATGGTTTACTTAATAAAATACCATATAGCTATTAAACTAATGGTAAAAGGCTATGGAAGAAAGTGACAAAATAAGGTTAACTATAAACATCAGTATTAAATGCTATATAAACATCAATTATAGCTATATAGTAATAGATAAAACAGTACACTCTAAGGGAAATATACATTATTATGGTCAAGTACCAATATTGTGGGTACTTTTTAGTTCCTTTCTTCTATTTCTCAAATTTTCTTCCATGTGATAACACTTTGACAATTTCAAATATTTCAGAAGGCCCTTGGATGAGAAAAAAACCTCAAAACCCAGCAATGATAAGGAAAGTTATGTTTGTTGTTATAGAAATAGCAATAAAAATGTGCATAAATATTTAAATCACTTGTTATCTCCAAAAAAAAAAATGTAACCTCTGCTAGGGACAATAATTAGCTCAAAAGCCTCTTGTCCTTTCAGTTACTGGGAAAAAATCTAGGTCAAGTTGATAATGACTTTCAATCAATTCTATCTCTTGACCTTTCAATGGAGTGACCTTTGGGGAACTAATTAGGTTCCCATGTCATTTCTTAGGAATAGCTTTCCAGATTATAAAATTCATGGGAACTTGGATTTCTCTTCTTGGAAATTCTGGCCTAGATGCCAAGCACCAAATGTTTCATAATAAATGGAAGAATGAAGTTATTACTGCCTTCTCCCACGAAGTTAAGAAGCATATAACAAGGGCAGAACAAGGAAATATGTTCAGCTTCTTTGTAAAAAGAGTAAGGATATGTTTATAAGAAACTACACATACCAATGGAAATAAACATTCTAATGCACCTCTCCTTTAACTTAAATCCTTTAAAGATACTCAGAGATATATCTAAATATCTAAAAAGATCATGTGTTAGGCCCTCAGATAATTTTCTGAATGCTTAATGGAATCCAGATATTATATTTAGATTTTCCTTGTTTAAACAGCAGAGCAATATGCAAAACTGGTGTGCTTAGATGGCTTTGCTCATAAATGACATGTGTGTATACAGAGACACACACAGAAATATTACAGACCTCTAGAACCTATTCTTGGCTCTCCAATGTCACAGTAACCAGTCACTAGAGAAACATGAGTGAAATATTTTTTGTTTTGTTTTGTTTGTTTTCTGCCAAATTGTAAAGAGTTATTTTCATATTTTAACCACCTCTTTTTCTAGAGAATTCCATCCAAATATCACCACACTCTTGCATAGTGATACTGTCATTTACATACATACATACACATGCATGCGTGTGCACACACACACACGCACACACACACACACACAATGTTCCCACCCCAGAGAATATAATGTGGGTTCACATAATATCCATCTATATGATATGTATACATATATGTATAAGTGTGTGGATTACTCACAGCATTGATCTCTGAAACTTTACTCATTTCCAAGTCTGCTAAGTAAATGGAGTCCAGCTATGATTCTGACCAGAAGCCCTACTGCAGTTCTCCAGTCGTTTTCACAAAATGAATGAATGAAGGGCCTTCTTGTGTTTAGTTATTTGCCTATAATGACTCAGCTACCTTTCCACTCTTTTTAGTAATGCTAGGGGACCTAGGAATCTGAACATTCTGTTTCTCAAACTCCTTTGTCAATTGCTTTCCTGCATTGAAGGCACTGGGGGTAAATCAGTGGGTGGCAAGAGGGGGGATGTTTTGTTCTCCAGTCCTCTCTCTCTCTTTTGCCCATCTCCTCCTTCCTTATGACAATGACTTTGGAAGAATGTTTGGTCCCTCCTCCATAGGCCAGCAGCTCTGGAGTGCAGTTCCTCCTCTGCTCTCCACATCCTCTCTTCTGTGTCCCTAGGCCCAGGGTTGGTAGCTGCTTCCTAAAGTTATGAATCTCTAGTTTACCTCCCCTTCCCATTCTTTGTCTTTCAACTTATTTCCTATATTAAATTCCTGTTCAAGCCAGGCACAGTGGCACATGCCTGTAATCACAGCAGTTTGGGAGGCTGAGACAGGAGGATTCACAAGTTTAAAGCCAGCCTCAGCAATGGCAAGGCCCTAAGCAACTCAGTGAGATCCTGTCTCTAAATAAAATACAAAACAGGGCTGGGATGTAGTTCAGTGGTCAAGTTCCCCTGAATTCAGCCCTGGTACCCCCTCCAAAAATCCCTATTCAAAATACCTAGTATGCTTTTTGTTCTCATGGATGATACAGCAATCTTGCCAAAATTGGTATAAAACTCACTCTTGAGTCTATTTCCATTAAGGATCAATGAAATAGAATACATATTTATAAGGCTAATTTGAAAACAGATTGGCTCCTACTTTGTTAAACTAACTAATAGGCTTTCCTGCATGCTGATGTGAGTTCAAATAAAGGGCATTTCCTTTCTTCTTGTTCTTTTCAAAAACTGTGAGAGTATTGTTGTGCAGAAATTCTTTGTGAGAATGATTGTTTACAATAATCTTAGGACTTTTAATGCTATCTAAGTACAGCTATAGCATTATATTAAAGAGATAAAAGATTTAAAACTTTTGAGGCATATCCATTTTTTAAAAAAATGTGCCTTTTATCCAAAGGCTAATGAAAATAATTTCTATATAGTATTAGTTTATTTCATAGTACTTAGAGAAACATGATTTTGTTCTTTCAGGAAAAAATTAGAAGTGACAATTGCTTCTCTTGACTTCTGAATTTCTGGAAACTTATCTTCTTACACTGGTGGTATCCCCAGAAAACTTAAACATTTGTGCTGAAATTTCCATTTCTGGCAATAAAGAGTAAACTTTCTGTTCATCTTTAATCAAAATATGAGAACAACAAATTACTTGACAATAAGGTGAATATGTCTAAATTGCAGGAACAAGAAAATATATTTCAAAAGGCAGCATTAATAGTAGCAATATATTAATAAACTACCTCTGTATTTTGGGCAAAAAAAAAGAAATGCTTTGTGAGGTATCTCAGTTTACCTTGTTATCCTCAGATAAAAATAAAATTCTCTGATTCTTTTGCCTCTCAATTCTTTTTTTATTTGCTCTTATCTCCATATGAGCCCAACTTCAGTTTGCAACCTTTCTCCTTGACCTTCATCTGATCCATCACCTAATCTCACTCCTCTTTCCTTTTGTATGTGTACCTGATGAATCATATCTTCACCAGTGTCAAATGTAGCATGCCACTTTTCATTTGTAACAGCCTTTCATGCTCACAGCTTATATTACCAGAAATTTCTCATAGGCCCTGAAGTAGTCCTTATCTACATGTCTCTAAAACTGAAAACACAGTCCTATTGTATACTAGCAATACTCCAGTCCTTTTGCTATTAACCTCAGTGACACTATTATATTCTATCACATCATTGTTTATCCTATTTTCAGGTTGGGTTTTATTCATCTCCTCTATCAGTTTCTGAACACAAATATCTTTTTACTCCATGTATTTGGATTTTGTTCACGGTTAGAAACTCTTGGGTGTAATTTTGTCTGCTTTGGCAATGAGTCAGATGAAAGCCATTTCTGCACAAAAGTACTTAAAAATCTTGGTGTCTAATGGCTTCATTTCAGGCCCTGGAGAAATGAAGAAGCATATCTAGCATATCCTGTTTGGTATCTGGTTTCTTTTCACAAAACATACTGCAGTCAATGAGTTCTTAAATCAGGTCTCTCAACTTAGACAATCACAGACTGCCAACAAAACTTGATCAACCGAAAATTGTGAGCGAACCCTGAATGCTACATGATTTGATTAAAGCTTGGGACTGTTCCATCTGTAAAGCCTTTTAAATCAATTTGAGGGACCTGGATACTGCATGAGTTAATTCATGATGATTTTTTCCAAACCAAAATAATCCACTATCATAAGTGCAAATTGAAGATGTCATAGCTGATACTTTTGTTTGTGCTTATGTGCCAGAGTCAGCTCTAAACACTTCAAATACTCCTATATGGTAGAAATTATTATCATCTTCATTTTGCAGATGAGAAAACTGAGGAACAGAAAGGATCCACAACCTATCCAAGGTCCCAGAGATAGTAAGTGGCAGACCAGGGATTTCACTGTATGCATTCTGTCTCCAGGGTTCATGTTCATAACTGATATACCTAACTGCTTCTTCAATTTCTTCCTCCATATCCTGACTTGACATATTTACCACTTGCACTTCTTACTAGCAAAGTTCTCATATTGATCCACAAGACTAATATATATATATATATATATATATATATATATATATATANTTTACCACTTGCACTTCTTACTAGCAAAGTTCTCATATTGATCCACAAGACTAATATATATATATATATATATATATATATATATATATATATATATAGCCTATTATGTGCCAGACATTGTACTAGGTGCTTCCACAATCATATAGTCTCATCTGCCTACTAATACTAAGGCTTGATTATTATCTCCTGTATCCAGACAACCAAAAGGAAGCTAACTAGAGTTATATAACCTGCACAAGATCAAACAATTAGGCAGTAAAGAGGCAAAATTCAAACCCGGGCCACTGTCTCTAGGCTCCTGACTACTTAACAATATGGCATACCCTCTTCCATTTTCCTTCTCATCAGCTCTAGTAAAGCTGCTGCAACCAAACTTTCCTGAACCTAGATTTCAGTCCTGGCTCTGATACTGTGTGTGGCACCAAGAAGATCACTAAACTTCTCTGAGTCTCTTATGTTCTATGCAAAATGAGCATAAACATATTCTCTTCATCACTGTATGAATTAGAAGATAATGTACATGAATGTATAAAGTGCTTGAGTATTTTTAATTACCATATAAATAATGAGGTTTTCAGCATCATCAAAATGGTGCATAAGATAGGCTGTCTGAGCTTTAAGATACTGGAAAACAGAATTATTTCCCTCCAGAGCAAGTGGATCAATACTTTGCAAGGCCATATCTTAGAGCTCAATGGAGAAAATTTTAAATGAGATTTTTCTCTCACTTTAAATGCCCTTATAAAATTCTGATGCTTGTCCACAAAGCTCAAACTAATTACAGATATGCCACTTGTCGAGCCACAATTTCAGGAAAAAGCTACACCTCAAAACCATAGTTATTTAAAGGCTACTTTTTCAAGAAAATCTAGTGAATGGTAAAAATAGTAGCTTTTTTCCCCCTGTGAGGAATAAAAATACTTTACCAGAACTATTTATAAGAAATACAATAACAGTGGTTGTGATTAGAAAGACCTATAATGAATATTTCTACTATAAAATACATGCTCCAAAATATTAGAATAAAAAAGAATTATTACTATTATTCATTACAAACATACAATCCAACTCACAATAAATTATAGTCATATTTATATGTATTTAATTTGCCAAAACAGTCATAAAGTTTAATGAAGTTAACTCCCATTAGGCAGATTTATTACTTTTCACTTAATATGAATGAAGTAAATAAAAAGTATTTAATATAAACATGATGCATTCACCATTAGAACATGCCCACTAATTGTAAAATACTTGATTTGTTTAATTCTTTTCTTTATGATCAAATTAGGCCAAATCCAACTCCCTTTGCTTTATGGTGTTCACTCAGCTATGCATTCTTTCTGACACTTCCTTTATTTTGAATCTGCTCTAAATCTTGTGATACGCCTGGCATATTCAGGTTCATATCTAGCCAAGGAATTAATCAAAAGTTGGTACTTTCTGGCACCACCAGGTTTAATTGCTTGGACTTGGGTTAGTTGAAAGGCATAAGGCCAGTAAAACTTGCCAGGAAAAAAAATACAGTAAATTTAGCACTTACTGCCTTGAGGTCTTCATTAACATGAGTATCATTCATTATAAACTCAGGGTAGCCAACTTTTGCCAAAACAGCTCTTGCCTATAAAAAGGAAAAAGAAAAATGATGTCAGAGTTCCAGCACTTAAATCATTAATAACTACAGGATGAAGGAATGCAATCTTCATCTGGAAACTCCATTTACTGAATATCTACTACATGCAAACCACTGTGAAGGACAAAACAAAAAAAGAAACAAAAGTTAGTCTCTGCCCTCAATACAGGGAGAAGAGGAATATTCCAGAAAAAAAGAAAGAACAACCAAGCAAAGACAGAGAGGGAAGATATTTATGAACCATATATCTGATTAAAGGTTAATATCCAAAATTACATAAGAAACTCAAGTAACTCAAGAAAGTAACTAGAATTAAAAATGGGTAAAGAATCTGAAAAGGCATTTCTCAAAAGTAGATGTATGCATCCAACAAGTATAGGAAGAAAATATTCCAACATCACAATCATCAGAGAAATGCAAATTAAATCACAATGAGATGTTATCTCACACCTGCTAGGTTGCTATTATCAAAAAGACAAGCTTAAATTGTTGTATGTGAATAAAAGAGAATCCTTGCCTGTGGTGGCAGAAATGTCAATTGGTACAATCACTATGGTACAGTATGACGGCTGCTCAAGAAATTAGAAATAGAACTACAAAACAGTAAGGACATCCAGCAATAAGATCCAGCAATCCCACTCCTCGGTATATATCCAATGGAAATGAAATCAGTATGTCAAAGACACATTGGCACTCCCATGTTCACTGCTGCACTATTCACAAGAGCCAAGGAATGGAAAAAACCAGTGTCCATCAGTTGCTGAATGGATAAATAAATTGATACATATACACAATGCAATACTATTCCCCCCATAAAACAGGATGAAATCTTATCATTTGGGACAGCATGGATGGAAATGGAGGTCATTGTATTAAGTGAAATAAATCAGGTACAGAAAGATAGGTACCACGTGATCTTCCTCATTTGTGGAATTTTTAAAAGCCCAAATTCACAGAAGCAGATAGAATGATAGTTACCAGGGGTTAGGGGTTAGGGGTTAGGGGTTGGACTTGGCTAGATGTTGGTTAAAGATACAAAATTTCAGTTAGATAAGAGGACTAAGTTCAGGAGATCTATTGTACAATATGGTGACTACAGTTAATAACAATATGTCATATACTTGAAAATTGCTAAAAGTAGATTTTAAATGTTCTTATCACCAAAATAATGATAAATGTGAGGTCGAGCATATGCTTCTTACCTTGATTTAGCCATTCTACAATATATACATATATCACAATATCCTGATATATACCATAAATATATAAATAATTGTATCTGATGTACAGAACACCCTGTCCTGAGTTACTCCATTTTGTATAAGAGCAGCATCTTTCAGGTCATCCCACGTGACTTGTTGAGGGTGTTGCTGAAAAAAACCAACTGTCTATCAACCACTGTGCCACCCAGGGAGCTTAGTCGGTAGGTATAGCTGCTTCCAAACTCAGAGCTCTGGGTTTGCTGACCCTGAGAGTCATTTGCCACCCTCCCTTCAACATCAGGGTTCAGAAAGGAAAAACTAAACCTATCCTGAAACTTATTCCCTAGGCCTCCAGGCTACCTGAAAACAGCACCATGTATAAAATGATGGTCTCTGATTCTGAGCTGCCTATAGTTGTTGAGGTATGGAATTGGAAGGTCCCCTATAGTGGACCACGGCACCTCAATGAGAAAGTAAGGAAATCTGATGGTCTGGACAGTAACTAGACAGGTAGGGATTGCTCTTTGAGAGGTAACTGTTACTCTGTGTATCCAACACTTGGTGGTCATTCACTTGCACAGACAAGATGCCAAGTCATTCTGCCTTAGGACTTGTACTCAAAATGGAGTAGCTCAGGATAAACTGCCATTCTATATAAAAGGGTTTAACTCAGGGTAAAAATACAGTAACTTAGAGCAGGACACAGACTGTTCTCTACATCTGACAATTTAAATAAATATGAAAAACAGACAGGAATACAGGAAACAAATGAATCACAGGGATCACTGGGATACTTGAATGCCATGCTGATGAGGCTATATTTTATTTTACAGCTAAAACATAGCTAAATATTTTTATCAGGGGAATAAAAAGAGATGAGTTGTGCTTCAGGAAGATTATCTGTGCAACATTGTAAGTGATGGTCAGAATAACAGAAAGATTGGAGGAAGGGGGTCCAGAATAATTTGAGATACATAATAACATTGCAACCATCTTTTTGATAGATAAAGGTACTAAGTAACCTCTATTTTTTGCAGTATACAGAGAATAGATAAAGGGGGAAAATCACCTTAGGCACATGTCAGCGGTCTCTAGAGCAGAAATTGGTACACTATGGCCCCTGGGCCAAACCCCAGACCTCCTCCCCTGTCTCTTTATATAAAGTTTTATTGGAACATGGCCACACCCATTTGTATGTGTGCTTTTGTACTACAACTTTGAAGTTGACTTGTTGGGATGGAAACCCTGTGGCATATAAAGACTCAAAATTTTATCTGGGCATTTTGGAGAAAGTTTGCCAGCCCTTGCTCCAGAGAAACATTACAGTTCCATGTAAAAAAAAAAAAAATTCCCCTCACTCCTCTAATTCTGGGTTTCACAAAAACAAAAAAGCAGCTCACCAGAGTGATGTGAGTACATCATCAAGGTCCTGGCCAGATCCCCTAAGATCCCTTTAATAAATTATATGTGTACACATCCTCATCTCCAGATCTGCTTCCAGATGACCAGCATAAGACCCAGGCACGCCAAAACCATTGGTTTTAATCCAGCAAAGTAGCAATGCAAATGGGTGACTTTTGCATCTCTTGGTAATGAGTTTTTCCCCTAGTCCTTTTCAATTTTCCTCACTCAAGAAATAAAAAGAATAAGATAGTAAATTTTCCTTATCTTCCTTAAGATAATCCAAATATTAAATATCAGCAGAAACCTGCAACTCAAGACAGAGAGGATGTTACAAGGGCCGTAGGACACAGTCATGATGGGTTTTGCTGTTCCACAGACCCAAATATAGCACAGATCAAATTCTACCCTGTAAGTTACACACACTAAAAGCTTGATGTGACCCAAACAGTAAATAACTGGAGGTTACGAGTCTCCACCAAACACAAAATAATATATCATATGTCTATAGGTTACCTTGTTCTGAAACTGTTTTTATTTCCCTCATTGTACTTAATTTCTCACTGTATTTTTGCAGTCCACCACAAGTCATGTGTATAACTATAGCAAATAAAGAGCTATGGATAGTTTTTCCCACGGTGCTCCCTCTCCAATAAGAAATAAACAAGCTGACTCATCCACTATTGCTGTCTGAACACTGGCCTTTCTAAAGCATGCTGGTAAATTGGTAAATTATGCATTGTTTTTCAAACCTCATTCTCTGGGACCCCCACTGTACTATGATGTCTCACAGAACATATTACCTTCTGTACTGTATAAGCAAGCCATTGAATCCTTTCTTATTATTTATTTAGCATCACCATGAATTGAAGCAAATCAGACCAGATATGAAGAATCCCTATTTACCTCCCAATGATACACAGCTAAAATAAGGTAATAATGCCAGTAGCAACATTGCTAACAAATAAATGCAATGTTCTTCTTCTCAAATGTGAACATATGCCTGTATTCAGATTCAAATGCTTCTTCTGCCAGAGCTTACTACTGTAAATTCCACATCCTCCCAGGCACCCCACTCTACATTTTTCCCTGAGAAGCTTCAGAACTGCATCTTTCAAAATTCCATGAAACATGGTTCCAGGTTAGACTGCCAATGAGAAGCACTCACAGGCCACTGGGAAGACAGAAGAGGAAACAACATTTATTCATTGTTGGTAGTCAAAGGCAAGTGCATGGGTATCTACACTTTGCCAGCAACTGCCAGGCATTCTCCTAGGGAAGACCCATTGCTGTGCAGACAGCAGAGATTATAAGCAGGCCCTACTTTTCACTTCCCAGCCCTGCAATGGTTGCATAATCTTCCAATTCCCTGTGCTGAACATTTTCCTGCTTGATATATTTAGAAAAGTACCTGTTTTCCTGCATGAACCCTAAGGCAGATAGTGATCACATCACTTTTCATGGTAAAATTTCCAGAATTGGATATGTAAAGCACTAATAATTTGATGGTTTGTTATAGGGCAAAATATTAGGAGGCAGGTCTGAAATCAATTATCCCTCTGGTTACATGGATAAGAATGAAATGCAAGACCTGAGACAATATAAGTATGAATATTTAACACATTGCATGTTATATCATACAAGTTATATTTTCTTAGTTCTTTGAGGATGGTCAAAAACTCAAAGGTTTTTTCATCCAGTATATACATTTCCATCCCTTATTCCTACAGACACTTGGAGAGGAGCTGCACTTGACTGGATGGACATCCTTCCTCAGTAGAGGAAGCTCCAGCAACTCTTTACCACTTCCATGACCTTAAAAATGTACTTCAAGGGGCTGGGGATGTGGCTCAAGCAGTAATGCACTCGCCTGGCATGCGCGGGGCACTGGGTTCAATCCTCAGCACCACATACAAATAAAATAAAGATGTGCCCACCGGAAACTAAAAAATAAATATTAAAAAAATGTCTTCTCTCTCTCTCTTTCTCTCTCTCTCTCTCTCCCTCTCCCTCTCCCTCTCCCTCTCCCTCTCTCTCCTCTCTCTCTTTAAAAAATGTACTTCTCTAAAGTAAATACTTTCTAGTGCCTACCCAACATCTATTCTCCCTTTTTTTCCTCTTACTATCAAGACCCAAATTCTGCTCAGTATGATAATGGACCCACCAAAAAAATGGCTGCAACACCTGCTTCCTTCACAGCTGAATTTGGCTGTGGCATGACACTTGGGCAAATGATATATAATTAAAAATCCTTGCTGAACTTCCAAGGATCCATTTTAATAGCGAACAGAGTCAAGTGGCATGTGCTTCCTGTCTGTAGTCCAACGTTTCTCGACCTCAACACTACAGACATTTTCGGCTAGATAATTCTTATGGGGGACTGGC